AGACAGAGAGAGACAGAGAGAGACAGAGAGAGAGACAGAGACAGACAGAGAGACAGACAGAAAGAGACAGAGACAAAGAGACAGAGACAGAGACAGAGAGACAGAAAGATAGAGAGAGACAGAGAGATTTGTAGAAAAGAAGATAGAGAACACTTCTTACCATATTGGATGCTTAATGTGTCTGATAATCACAGTCTCTGAGATAAATGTTTTTATCATTTCTTCACAGAAAAAGAAATGGAGGCTCCGAAGTTATATGGCAAGTTAGATCCAGAGCTCTCCTTGAGTCTAGAACTGACCCTTGAAGGTCCCTGCTTTTCTTTCTCCATGAATGAGTGAATGACTGAGGTTGCTGATAGATCTACAAGAGAGGCTGTCTTAGCAGGATGTAGGCCCAAAGACCAAATTGTATTGATCTGTAGAAAATGGTCTGTGGTGTTATCTCTTACACACCTGAGTCTATGGATTAAGTGATATAGGACTGCCACATAAAGAATGAATAAGCTGAGAGGAGATAGAGTGCTGTTGAAGGAGTACACAGAAATCTCCTAAAACTCTAAACTGAATAGATATCCAGGCCCCAAGAGAGACAAGAACCTGGTATAGACTTAGCAGAAACCAAAACATCTCCTGTCTCATGTTCCGCCACACACATATCTCTACTTCTCTCTGCAATTTTGGGTCTCCTCTCACACTCTGTTAATATGGGTTCTTCTAGTCAATAACACATGCTTGAACCCAACATAGCTGCCCACATCCACTCTCTTTGGAGACCTATGGTCCAGCTTCAGTCTGTACCTTTCACCACTCCATCAGCTCTGAAGAAAACAAAGCAAAAGCAAAAATATTAGAATGACAACAGTGTAAAGTTTATGAAGAAAATTCCATGTCACAGAGACATGTCACTTTCAATTAGAGTATTTTCTTAGACTTTTCAAATAATTTTGAATGATTTTTTTTTACAATGCATCAAATTCAACAAATGGTTATTTCTTAAAGTTTGGTTGTAGTGTGAAACTTGAAAAATCATAAATGAACTTATTGTTACATTGAAACTCATTTGGGGCTGGTGAGATGGCTCAGTGGTCTAAAGCACCTACTTAGAACAAGCTTAACAAAGCACAGGGACCGCGGTTCAATCCCCCAGCACCACATGCCAGCCAGCCCCGCCCCCTGGTGGGCTGAGCTGGCCACACACACACACACACACACACACACTAAAATAAAATAAAAACACTTTAAAAAAAAAAAAAGAAAAGAAACTCATTAGTCTATCTTACACACTGGTAGATCTTTCACCCATTCATTTATCATTTGAAAAATATTAGTCAACTCAGTTATGCATCACAACTTCCTAGTGTTAACATATTTCATATAAGTATATTTCATATCATCACTGATCCCATCAGAAAAGTATTAAGTATTACAAAGCTTCAAGCTCACAGTAGAAAATACAAGTTTTTCAGAGTTCTATTTTTTTGGAGCTGAGGATACCCTTCATGATGGAAGTGAAAGCCTAGCATAAACAATTCCCTGGGTCTAATTCTGAGTGCTGAAAAAAAAAAAAATCGGAAACTCTGATTTTATCCTGGCAAAATTGCTATTGGTTGTTTTTCTTGAAATGACAGGATCACACCATCATTTCAAGAAATACCTAGCAAGTAGCTAGATTTGAGAAACCATACTTCATTTTTTCATGTAATAAAGGGACCCTTAAAGAAAGTCATTTGTTTAGATAACAACTCCAAAAAACACCAGTGGTTCTCCTAACCACCACCTCCAGGATTCAGTGCAGGGGCTGTATTCAGACATCACATTTCATCACACAAACTCTTAGGCAGGTACTCAAGGGCCACAATCTAATAGTCGGATGTGAGAGTAATCTGGCTGTGACATCTGTCACTCCGCTGATCTCCAGGGTTGATTCAGCTGATCTGGCTGGCTAGGTGGGTGTCCCCCTCCTCCCTCAAGGCTCCATGTGCATCACTCCAAAAGCTGCATGCTCTGTTGAAAGGACGACCACTCCCAATAGACGAGGACTATTCCCCCGATCAAGGGTATAAGAGTAGCTGCGCTCCCCTGCTAGGCCTTCCAAACAAGCTTGCAAGATGTAATAGTAAATCATTTTCACTGCCTTCTCCAGGACTTTTTCTTAAGTAAAACTGGCTTTTGTTTTCTTTCCTCTTTCTGTGAGTGTATGTAATGAGAAATACAAGATCTGTAATGAGTGCTATTGTTTTGCTATTGCTGTCACTAAAATGTCATCCTTATTACCCATCAGTGCTGCTATTCCATCACCTTAAAAGCAAGTTAAAACAGAAACAAACAATAAGGCAAATATCTTCTTAGCACTATTATGAAAATGGTTTTGACTTTCAGGACCCCATGACCAAGTATCAGAGACTCCTAGGGGGCCTTTTGGCCACATCTTTAGAAGTGCTGTTCTAAACTATTTAAATACAAGCAATTTGGCTTTGATGCCAATTTCCTTTTCAGGGCAGAGAAAACCTCTATCGCCCAGCTTGGGTTAGCTGTCTGTCCCTGTCCCTCCACTTGGCCAGGTGTATAATCATGTGGGACAATGTTCACTTAGCCAGGATTTTTGAACCAGACAGCTGGAAAGGGAGTGGGCAAACCTGACCGAGCTGAGACTCAGGGTAAGTTGGGATTAAGAACCCCAAAAACTATAAAAGGAAAGTGGGATGGCCAGAGAAATCAGCAGGAACATGTCCTAGAGCCTTTCCAGAATGCTGTTCACAACAGAAGTGTGTACAAAGTTTTACAGATTCTGAAAGCTTTCTCAGAGCCATGACCTCATTCAATCCTTTCAACATCCCTGTGAGATACATTTCATTGTTGTGACTCCACAAATGAAGAAACAAAGGCTTACAATGATCAAATCACTTGTACAGAGTCACGAAGTTAAAAAAAAAAAAAAAAGCAGAACCTAGGTGTTCTGACCTTAAGCCAAAAGCTCATTTGCCTGCAACAAAGCTGTTGCAACAAAGCTGTCTGCCGTGACAGTTATACTCAGTGAAGTGCAAGAAGAGACAGGGAGTAACTAAGGCTTGGAGATGTCATCCCATTAAGAGTGCAGGGAAAAGTCGGAAGAGATGGAGCTTTCTGCTTTGCCCTTAAAGTTAGGAGAAGAGAAGGGAATTGTAGCTCAGGACAGTCGGATAAGGTGTAAGCCCTGTGCTCCAGCTTCAGTTCATGCTTTTGACCGCTTCATCAGCTCTCAGAGAAACAAATCCACCTTCTGCACTGTGTTCACTGCCAGTAAAGTGCAATTTTATGTGGGAAAGGCTTGCTAGTTTTGAAAATTAAAGTGTGAAAGTATATTATTTATTAACTAGCTAAAGTGAATCATCTGTTCAGACTAAAAATTAAAATAAAGACTTTGTTACTTTGTAAACATTTTTTTCTGTAGTAGACCAGATGGACCTCCCACATGAGGAACAAAGTCAGGTCTAAAGAGAGAGGCATCCATTTAAGAAGCCTGGCTTGGATCCTCCACACTATTCAGTTTCCCCTACCGCCTTTCACCCAGTATCAGTTTTTAAGATATTATTCCAAGTAGACCGAGCCAAGAGGAAATGAGGATTAAATCTAAAAAGGAAGCCAATAACATGCTTTTAAAATACCCAAAGCAAGGCCTGGCTTTCCCCGAGAAGATCTACTCTCTGGCTTCCAAAGCAAAGCTGGTGAGACACCACCACAGAGGGGAAGTGCTTATAGAGTTGGGGGTCCAAATTGGGGGCCCACTAACTATTTATCGATGTTGAGACTTGAGATACAGCTAGTCCCAAACTGGCACTATATGACACGTGGGAGATGCAGTCAAATTTCAGAGAGAGCACAAACACACTGAAAACTGCTTCCTTAGTAGTTTCCATGTTGATTCCAGGTTAAAATGGTGTTTTTGATATTTTGAGTTAAATGAAATCAACTTCCCATATTTATTTTTACATTGTAAAGTGGCCGCTGGGTAATTTGAATTTAGGTATGTGGCACATATTGTATTTCGATGTATTAGTTCTTGCCCATACGTCAATCCCAGCAGCGCCCTGCACCTTGCCCAGCAGCACCCCAGGCCCACCACATGTGTACTCCCTCACTGGTATGCTGCATGTATTCTTTCTTTAGTTCTTTAGTTCCTTCACATGTTCTGATTAAAAAAATAACTTTGAAGGATAACTTATTCAGTTAAGTGTGCAAGTTATGGTGATAAAAAAAAAATAGAAAGAACCCAAAGTCCAAGGTCTCTTAGTTTATTGAAAATTTAAAAATAAAAAACCTGTTTATCTGTTTCCCTTTCTTGATAAGGAGGAATGTGCTTATAAAACAAACTGACTCCTTCTTAGAGAAGAAGGACTAATGCAGTAATGACAGATTAGTTTGTATCTGACACTCATTAAAATGTGTCTCTTGAATTTGAGGTCTCCCACAACGTATTAGTAGACGCTCAAAAAGCTGGAACAAGTTACCAATTAAATGCTGTTACTTGGTGCAAATAAATTAGTTCTGATCCAGAGAGCTAAACTTGTATATGGGGAGGCAGAGCGCCTGTAATCCCAGCACAAGGGAGCCGGAAAACAGGAGGATCGCTACAAGTCTGAGCTGCATAGTGAGACCTTGCACCAAATACACAAATGAAAAAAAAAAAAAAAAAAAAAAGAGGAGAAGTGGGGAGACTGAGGAGGTGGATATAGTCATGAGGAGTTTTTAGCAGAAAGCTACTGGGAAAGCATTCGGTTGTATTCAAATATCTTAGAAAAAGTAAAAAGGTATTTGGGGATTGTTATGGTTTGTGTCTAGTTGTCCCCCAAAGCCTCATGCAGTCATGGGGTGGACTTCTACAGGTTATGATTAATTCTTGATCCAATGCTGGGATTATGGGTCTGAGTGCCACACTCCCTTGGGGCATTATAACATGAGGAGGGGAGAGAGCCTTGCTAGCTACCAGAGCTGCTGCCCCCTTTCCCTTTGCTTTTTGCTGTTTTCCACTGCCATGAAAAGTTGTTCCCTGCCCTGTGCCATTCTGCCTTGGAACCAGCTGAGTATGGACTGAAACCTCCACTAACTGTGAGCTAAATAAGTCTTTCCTTCCTTCATTTTGGATGTCAGGTATTTCGCCCCAGCAATGAGAGAAAAGTAAACAAAAGAGGGATTCTAGAGGCATTTGCCTCTAGGCTTCAGAGAAATCTTTACTTAGCAGAACTCAAAGCTTTGAAGCTTAGGATAAAGGTTAACAAAGGTCCAGACTAACAATTTAGTGACATTAGTCAAAATCCAGAGCAATGCAATAGAAAAACAAAAGTGTATTCAACACAGCTATTCCCCTTCTTGATATCTTCATGAAAGAATTAATAGCACAGTGATATATGCATATCAATGTAGAGAGTGGCACAGTTTGTCATCCCTGAATCTTGGAAATAGCCCAAATGCGCATCAACCAGTGAACTGATAAAAAAGATGTACCTTTTCTATACAATGAAGGAATACTTAGCCATAAAGAAGGATACACTTATGACATTTATAAGTAAATGGATGCACCTTGAGACCATACTCTTGGGGGCCAGAAAGATAGGTCAGTGGCATAAGCACCTGCCTGGCAAGCACAAGATCCTGAGCTCAATACCCAGTACCAAAAAAAGAGAGAGAAACCATACTCTTGAGTGAAATAAATCAGACACACGTGTGAAACACTGCTTTGTGTCTCTTGTGTGAGCCGAAAGTATAAGGAAGGACCAAAATGTCTAATAGACACTGTGAAATAGGAAGAAAATGTTTAGATTTGAATGAGGTGGGGGAGGGGATGAGAAAAGAAGGAAAAATGGAAACAAATCTTTTGTAAATAAAGGGAGAGAGGGGCTGAAGGGCAGGCAGTGGAATGAGGGGGGGGACAAAAATAAAGATATATCATGTACAGGTACAAATTCCCAGGGATGAATGTGATCATTTTGTATACCTGAGATGTACCAGTGAACTTAATTTTTTTTTTAAAAAAGCATAGGGGTGGTAAACTTGGTACGGGCTTTTTTTTTTCCAGTTCAGGGCAGTGCGTTTCCCAGGCTTCCCGCCGTCACAGAGATGATCTCTGCCACAGCTCCCAGGAGTGATTCATCATTTTCCACTGGACCTCTCTGCACTCATCAAAAGCTTGTTAAATAAGTCTGCAGCAGCCTGCAGGTAGCCCATCAAGCCAGCAGCAAGGTGTGACTTCTCCGCCTCCGCCTCCCTCCCTATTGATTCACACTGCCCTGAGTGAGCCTCTGGGCTTGACTCCACTATTGAAATACTCCACGGAACAAAGCAGTACGCAGGAAATCAAGAATCCAGGCAGGAACATAAATCTTTGGAAACCCAGCCTTGCTTCTTTCTTCCTGTTTCAGCTTCCAGGGTGTACCTGGAGAGGGATCTTCCTTCCTTATTCTTCCCGCTTTGCCCACTGGCTTTGCCCACAGTGTATGAAGAGCTGCACAGGTTTCCCACTGTCCCGCCCTTGGCAGCCTCCTGTTAGCACTTCCCACTGTCATCGCCCGCTGCCTGCTCCTGCGTGAGCCTCCCCGCTGCCTGGGAACAACCCTCCTGAGCAAGTCACCACAGGTGCATGACCTGGAGTTTTGCTGGGATGTTTTCAAGTGATGAAATTTATTCTTCCCCCAAGGAGGCTGAGTCAGCAAAGATCCTTACGCATGTCCCGCATTTTACAGCTGTGGGAAAGGGAAATTACAGTTGAGAGCAGTCCGAGGATCCCCTTTTTCAATATTATAGAACTGGAGTTAAGATTTTTGAAGTCATTCATAAAATAAAAGTGTTCCTACAATTAAAATATGCAAAAATAAGGGCTGGCCAAATAGCTCAGCAGATTAAAGCACCTGCTTAGGCAGACACAGGGGCCGGGGGTTCGTGCCAGCCCCACCCCTGGGCGCACTGAGACAGGGATTGAGACTGGGCATGGCGGCATGCACCTATAAACCCAGCACTTGGGAGGCTGTAAACAGGAGGATCACTACGTCCAGTCTACGTAGTGAGACCCTGTAGACCATGTAGACCCTGTAGACTTTGTATTAAATACATAAAAATAAATACAAATAAATATGCAAAAATAAAATAAAATATGATACAGAAACACTTAAATATGTACAAATAAAAAGCTCAACAGCCAATCATGTACCTTCAAAGTATAGAACAAAATGTATGGAATTAATTTTAATCCACACCCAGATAAGAAGAACAGTAATAACTATCCTCTTACATTTGCAAATGGAGAAACTTCCCCACAGTAAGACTTTATATTAGCATTTATTTAAATAACAAATACTGGCAAGGCTGTGGGGAGAAATGAATATTTTTTCA